GTCCCTCTCTTCTTTGCTAAGCGTGTAGCTAGCAGGACTTAAGTAATGACGTCCATCATCTGTCTTCTCTGGATGAAGGTTGTCTCGTTCTTTCATGTCCTGCAAGTCCTGGCGTGCTTCAAGTGAATCCTTTGGCTTCCCGTACACACCCATGAATCCTAACAGGTTCACACAAAGATTCTTTGTCAGGTGCATCACGTCGATTGCGTTGCGGACCTCTAGGACTTGCCAATAGGGTAGCTCCTAAAAGATGGACTTCTTCTTCCACATGGGTGTGTGTCCCTTAGCATCTTTGGGAACAGATTTGCTGCCTTGTCCCTTTCCAAATACTACTTTCACATCCTTGACCATTGCGAGTACATCTTCTCCGGTTCGGTTATGAGGCTTCTTTCGGTGGTCTGGCTTACCTTTAAAATGCTTACCTTTCTTTCTTACTTGGTGATTCAAAGGAAGGAATCGACGATGGCCAAGGTACACGAGCTTTCGACATCTTTTCAAATATATACTGTCAAGGTCATCAAAACAATGTGTGCATGCATTATATCCTTTGTTTGTCTGACCTGAAAGATTACTTAAAGCAGGCCAATCATTGATTGTTACGAACAACATTGCTCGTAGGTCAAAGTGTTCTTGTTTGTACTCATCCCAGACACGTACACCTGGTTTGTTCCATAAAACTAGAAGTTCTTCAACTAATGGCTTCAGATAGACATCAATGTCGTTGCCAGGTTGCCTCGGACCTTGGATGAGGATCGGCATCATAATGAACTTCCACTTCATGCATAACCATGGAGGAAGGTTGTAGATACATAGAGTAACTAGCCAAATGTTATGACTAGTGCCCTGCTCCCCAAAAGGATTAATACCATCTGTACTTAAGGCGAACCTTAAGTTTCTAGCCTCATATGCAAACTCTGGAAATTCCCTATCTATCGCTCTCCACTAGGACCCATCAGCTGGGTGTCTCAGCATATTGTCTACCTTACGGTCTTCTTTATGCCACCGCAACAACTTTGCATGGTCTTTATTTCTGAACAAACGTTTTAAGCGTGGTATTATAGGAGCATACCACATAACCTTAGTAGGGATTTTCTTTCTAGGATGTTGTTCACCCTCGACGTCACCAGGATCATCGCGCCTGATCTTATACCGCGTTGCTTTACATACCGGGCATTCATCCAAATTCTCGTATTCATTGCCATGGTAGAGGATGCAGTCATTAGGACATGCATGTATCTTCTGGATTTTTAATCCCAAAGGACAGACAACCTTTTTTGCTTCGTACGTAGTGGTGGGCAATTCATTTGGCTTCGGAAGCATCTTCTTTATGAGGTTCAATAAATTCCTAAATGCCTTGTCGGATATACCATTCTTTGCCTTCCACTGTAGCAATTCCAGTGTTGTACCCAGTTTTTTTTGCCCCTCTTTGGCCATCGGGTATAGCAACTTCCTATGATCCTCAAGCATGCGCTCAAACTTAACTTTCTCTTTTTCACTTCGCATTCTTGTTGTGCATCACGAATGGCATCGCCAAGAGCATCACCGAGATCATCTTCTGCCGCTACCTCTTCTTCATCTCTCCCCATTGTAGTATCATCAAAGGCAGCATACTGAGCAATAATGTCATCAATGTCTAAATCTTCTCCTTCACCTTCTTCTATCATGACCCCGCTTTCTCTATGCTTAGTCCAACATATATAGTTTGACATGAAACCTGACTTAAGCAAATGTGAATGAAGACTCATTGAGCTTGAATATTCCTTTAAATTCTTACATATGGCACATGGACAGCACATGAAACCATCCCGCTTATTTGCCTCGGCCACACCTAAGAAATAGTGCACGCCCTCAATAAAGTCTTGGGAGCGGCGATCGGCATTGTACATCCAATGGCGTGACATAATCTGCATTACACGACAAATTATGAAAACCTTGAACATAATTAAGTATTTTATTACACAACATAGATGACACACACACGGTTGATTAATTAACTAAGCCTGGCTACAACGTAAGCAATCCCAACTATCACTAAACAAACTAAAACTACAATGCACTTTAGTAACATAATTATTTCGTGATCGTACGCAACTAAAACAGACAAATCATTCTTCTGTTGAATATCAATAAGCTTCTCCTGCTGGCTCACTGCCTCATCATCAGCAGCCGCTACCTCAAGCGCACCCAAATTCTGCACGTATGTAGCATAATCTTCCTCCCAGTACCAACCATCACATCCATTGCCCTCCCACTGAAATTAAAGCCAAAAAATATTTAGACAAAAATATTCAAGAAAAGCAGGTCAATTAGCCATAATTATAAAAAGTGTAAGAAACTCACATCGCGATCCGGGCACTTGTAGAAAACACGACCCTTGTTGGGTCCCTGTCTCTTGACTCGGTACTCCATCACAATCTTCTGCTTACACTTGCCGCAGATAATGAGAGAGAGTTCTGGCCTCAGTCGTTTCGCAACCGAACGAGAGGCCGAGGATCCGGTACCAGTTGTCATCTACTTTCTATAGTTATTTTTGCAAACTAGTGTAAATTTCATATTTTCTAAAATGATATATTTAAACAAAACTAGTACAGATTTCACATGTTTCAATAAATAACCATCCATACTAGTTGACCTTGCTTACGTGATCATCTCGGCCAGCATTTCTCTACCGGACGGCACCGTACTTGGCCAAGGAAGAGCTCCGATTCTACGAGAAAGGGAACACGGTCTTCCACGACCGTTGCCGCTCTCCCTCGTAGAATCAAAGCTCCTCCTTGACGTCCGTTACCGCTCAGCAGAGAACATGTTGGCTGAGCTGAACACGGTCCGCAAGTTCAACTAGTACGGATTTTCTATAATTTTCTAACTATTTACTAAGTTTTTCATTTCATGGAAAATTTAATTCTAAAAAATAAAAGGCATGATTTCTAAGTAGTTCATTTCATGAAAAAAATAATTCTAAGTGACCCGCTCGATATCGGCGAGCTCACGGGCGTTTAGGTTGCCGAGGATAGTAACATTTGTAGATGACATTTGTAGGTCTGAAGTTATCAAATATCCATCAAATTATAGTTCAAAAACATGTTTCAATAAATAACCATCCGTACTAGTTGACCTTGCTTACGTGATCATCTCGGCGAGCATTTCTCCAACGGACGGCACCGTACTTGGCCAAGAAAGAGCTCCGATTCTACGAGAAAGGGAACACGGTCTTCCACGACCGTTGCCGCTCTCCCTCGTAGAATCAAAGCTCCTCCTTGACGTCCGTTACCGCTCGGCAGAGATCATGCTTGCCGAGCTGAACACGGTCCGCAAGTTCAACTAGTACGGATTTTCTATAATTTTCTAAGTTTTTCATTTCATGGAAAAATTAATTCTAAGATCACGTAAGCCACCGGGGACGAGGATGACGCGTGCTCCAGCGAGGACGAGCGAGGCGTGATTTTGATGAACTAATTTAACTTTTGTTTATCCAAACATATATGCAAATCATCATTTGATTTTGAGCTAAAAATGACATATAAAATCATAATAAAGTCCAACATATAAAGTTACACATGCATCTACATCGCAAAATGAGATAAGCTACTGATAAAACATAAGAGGATTAAGTTTGTTACCTCCAAAATCGAAGAGCAACACCAATGGAGGGGGAGAGAACAAGAACAACAGCAAGCTGAAGAACAGAGGCAGTGAGTTTGAATGGAATGGCTCGGGCTCGGGGAGGAAGAAATGAGCTGGATTATAGGCCGGGATAATTAGTCCCGGTTATGGGGCTAAACCGGGACTAAAGATTAATCTTTATTCCCGGGGCATAACCTAAATCGGGACTAAAGATCCCTGCCCCGTGAACGACCGTTGGGCAGGGACCTTTAGTTCCAGAGACAAAAAAATATCAAGACTAATGTCAAATTAGGACATCGTTCTAAAGTCTGTTCTCTAGTAGTGACCCAATAGAAGCGCGGCGGGTCGTTGTATTACTACTAGTCAGTCTGCGATCGGGACCCGCTTGTACTTAATCGCGATTGAGTGGCTTGAGTACACACGCCGCCTGCCACGTTGTTGTGGTGTGGGAGTGGAAATGTATACGCGCTGGAGTGAGAGTGACGTGAGTACAAGAAAGCTGATGGTCCTTTGGGCGTGTTAATACTTTCAAATACGGTAGCCTTCTTGGTTCGGTAGATCCGTATCAGCGTGTTTATATATGTGGTTTAGTTAGGGGTGTTTGGTTCCCGCAACTAAATTTTAGTCCCTGTCCCATCAAATGTTTGGACATATGTATGGAGTATTAAATATAAACGAAAAAAATAACTAATTGCACAGATTGCGACTAATTTGCGAGACGAATTTTTTAAGCCTAATTAGTCCATGATTTGACAATGTTGTGCTACAGTATATATGTGCTAATGATGGATTAATTAGGCTTAATAAATTCGTCTCGTAAATTAGTCTTCATCTGTGTAATTAGTTTTATAATTAACTCATGTTTAGTCCTCCTAAATAGCATCTGAACGTCCGACGTGACATGGACTAAAATTTAGTCTGTGGAACCAAAACACCCCCTTAGTCTCCTCTCGTATCACCAAAGTCTTTCAGGGATCGGAATAAGTCTCCTTTGGCTGCCTCCATACAGTTTCTTCAGAAAACGACCGGTCCTTTTTGTCCTTTAAAGAAGGCTACTAGCATCTTCCTCCTCACCGCATCACCAAAGTCTTTCAGGGATCGGAATAAGTCTCCTTTGGCTGCCTCCAGTTTCTTCAGAAAACGACCGGTCCTTTTTGTCCTTTAAAGAAGGCTACTAGCATCTTCCTCCTCACCGCATCTGAGAGGACCGGAGACTTCCTATAGGTGTGAAGCAGCAGAGGCGATCGAGAAGAAAGGTAACGATGACCCAACAGCGTTGATTCGACCATTCGTTGCTTTCTTGTTCAATAATTTCCTTCAGTTGTTACCGGAACCAAGAAGATCTGATCTGATTGGTGTTCAACAGTACATGCAAGATGGCCGATCTTGCACTGGGTGGCCTGGAGAGGATCGTCAAAGCTGGCCTGAAGATCAAGAAGGCGGTGGAGACAGTCCACCAGAACAAGAAGGGGTGTAGAGACGTCCAAACGTGCGTGGCCAGAGTCACTGCTCTCTTGTCGTGGCTAAAAGAGGGCGCAATGATGCACCACCCATCATTTACGGGGCCACTGGATGATCTAGCGGAAAGCATGGAGGAGGCCCTGGAGCTCATCACGGACTGCCAGCAGAGAAGCGCCTTGCGCCATCTGTTGGGGGCTAGGGACATGGCCAAGCAGTTGTGTCGGGTGCAAGAAGATATACACAACAAACTGACGACGGTGATGTTGGCCACCAATATCCTCAACCTCAAGATCAGCGTTTCTGTGACAAACACTCTTCATTACGTCGGCGCTCATCCTCCACTCCTACTGCCACAGGCATGTGTAATCTCCTCACTTCACCTCGGCACACACTGCACTAGTTCCAATCGAGTGTTTCGTTGTTGTGTAAATAAGGTGCTAGGTAAATAAATATAATGATACCACATACTGAATGATACAGAGATGGGACAAGTTTCATCTACCTAAAACTAGGATGGCCTTTTAATAACAATGGCCTTTTAATAAAAATGGTAGAGCAGTGAAAAAAAATGCTTCTCCGAGAAGCTGTACAAATAAAGTAAAAGTCTGATCAAAATAAGCTAGCCTAATCCAGCTTATACGTTTTAGTACAAATGAGTGTTGTGGGGAGAAGCGTGGCGAGAACAAGCTATAAAAGAGCATACCATTTGGCTTTTGACCCCAGCTTATTTTGGCCATAAGTAGCTTATAAACTGTACCAAACAGGACCGACGCCAAGTGTAGATACCACTGCACACATTGTTTTGTTGGGTCGAGTATGCAGAAAAGTCAAAACGTCTTGTAATTTAGAACGGAGGGAGTATTTATTACTAGCAACCAAATATGGCAAGATAATGGCGGAAAAAAAGATTAGTTTCCCTGTCAGTTTGCGCACTTAGAATAATCCATGTTTTGAATGTTATTCTTTTAGAAGCTGTTGAAGATGCTAGAATAATACCGTAACTTCAACTATTGCTATTTCAGGATGCTGGAAGGCTGAATTCAAATATGAGTCATTCAACTACGGATGGTATCAGGTAAAATAATATGTACGTTGCAAATAGTGCACGCTCGCATGTGTTTTTGTAGGTGCCAAACTTGAAAGTGTAACCTGCACTAACAACCTAAAATTAACATTTTCAATGACCCTTTCTTATTAATAACTATGAATATAGCCACAACATTTTAGATTATACTCCCGCTCATCAGAAATGTAAGTTATTTTAGTTTTACCTTAAGTCAAACCTCTGTAATTTAATTTGACCAAATTATTACAAAATATATTAACGTCTACAATATAAAATAAATGCATTGTTAACACATTTCATGGTGAATTACATACACTAATTCGAAGTTGGTCTATTTTCTATAAGTTAGAAAAAAATTGAGAAGTTTGACTTAACAGAACTAAAAGAACCTACATTTTGGAACAAAGGGAGTATAGTAGGTAATTAGAAGTCAAAGCATTAAAATTTAATAAGCAAATTGATTGATTTTGTATGTATCCCCAAATATAATACTCCATAGACTATTCATATAGTGATAGTACACATAAGCAGTACTCCCTCTATTCTACAATATTTATTTTTTCCAATGAGGATATCAAGAATATAGTTATTGCTATGTTTCTAATCTCTACCTCCCAGTTAAATTCTATATGGGATAATAAAAGTAGTAGTGTATCAAGTTGTATATTTATTAGGGGATAGTCATATAGATGAACATTTCACTTTGACTTTTCTTAGAGTAAGTACTACCTTGGTCAATGCTCCTAGCATGTTATGGAAAAAATATTATAACAAAAGGACTAACAATAATCTGCAGAGGCAAAAGACATTTGGTCTACAAAAGACATTTTAAAAATGCATCTATGTTTATTTTGATGAATTATTGGATACAAAAATGATGAGCTAACCTCACTGAATATGTTTCAAGGCCTCTTGTTCTGAATTTTCACTAATGGCATTCCTTTAATTTCTGCGTATATCAATGGCAGTTCTGGAAGTAGTAGTGACACAACAATGCTAACAGGGGGGTGTGAGGGGCCCTATCCTTCCTCGTCGAGTAAGAATATCTGCCATCAATCTCTAATCATTAATAGTACGTTTACAACTTCTATATAGGTTTCACATTAAAACCGATATGGATGTTATCGCAGTAAATATATTCCCATTGTTCATTTGTCCCATTTAGATGCAGTTAGTTTTGTTATATGGAACACATAGGTTCATTTGTTATTTTTACAATATCAAATTAATTTCCCATTGTTCCAAAATGTCCCATTTGGCCATGTCCAGTTTCAAACCATCACAATTTGTAATGTACAATATGGAAACTCTTACGGTTTCACGTCTGCTTGACATCCAAAATCCATGATGTGCGTTGTCTCTGCAACAGGAACAGAGTCTATGTTGTTTGAGCAGGACACAGCGCAACGCTTTTCAGGGCTCAAGGTACTCCATATGAGTTTTACAAAGTTTGCGCTGCTGTTTTGTCATATGATCATTGCAATCGCAGGTCGTTGCTTGTAGGTAGGGTGCATCCTTTTAATATGGTTTGGCTTAGGCCCTGTTTGGATCCATTATTAGCTACTAATATTGAGCTAACTAATATTAGGTAACTAATTATTAGCTGTTATTAGTTGGTTTGGTACGACTAGTAAGGTAGTTAGTAGTTACATATTCGATTAATTAGAATATTAGCTTGAACCGTTCGGATCGAGCTAATTATTAAAAGCTAACTATTAGTTCTATGGATCCAAACAATATCTTAGTATAATAGAAAATAATTTAAATAGTTGTAAAAGTATTTCTAAAAATGTAGCGTTGGGTCCGTACAAATGGATCTTTTGTAGAGTTATGATATAATTTTTTAAAAACCTTACATCACTACTACACAAAACTTTACCGAGGCGGGCATATTCGATTTACCGAGGGGGGCATCGCAACCGCCTCGATCCAAAGGTCACGGTAAATGGGATCTTTTTCGAGGCGGTTGCGATGCCCACCTCGATAAATCTAATAAAAAAGAAAAACCCGTGGATAAGCCCGGCGAGCCCATCCACACGCCGTTGCCGCGGTAGCTCGTCGCCGGTGCCTCACAACCGGATTTCCCTCCTTTGCCGAGAGCCCGAAGCTCTCGGCAAAGAGGATTTCACTCTCGGCAGATCATTTGCCGAGAGCTGCTCTCGGCAAAGAGCGGTCGGCAAAAGGTCTCCCGGCAAAGGTTTATTTGCCGAGAGCCCCTCTCGGCAAACTCTTTGCCGAGAGCAAAATAAAAACTCTCAGCAAAACCTAACTCTCGGCAAAATATCACCGCTGTAACGGCAACCCGTCCGTAACGGTCGTCCCATACACTTCTTTGCCGAGAGCAACTCTCGGCAAAGAATTTTTTTTAAAAATAAAATAAAATAGATTATGGGGCTGAGGTGGTTTAAAAAAACTTCTTTGCTTTGAGAGCCGATTGCTCGGGCAAAGGAAAGGTTTGCTTGAGAGCCAGCTCTCCATAAAGGAAAGCTTTCTTTGAGAGCCCTAGAATATGCTCTCGGCAAAGAGTCATATTTGCCGAGCGTTAGGTGCTCGGCAAATCTTACTCTTTGCCGAGAGCCCAGTTAGTTGGGCTCTCGGCAAATATTAGCTCTCGGCAAAGAGTCCAGAGAGCATTTTTTTTATTTTTGTTTATATTTCCAGCTTCAACATCACATATTTCACAAATATAACACATCATATATATCACAAATATCACATATTTAACAAATATGCCATCCACATCACATGTCTCACATAATCCATCTTAACATCTCAAATCCAATAGTTCATCTCACAAAGTGCACGACAATACATTATGAAGAGCAACAAGCTCACCCCAAGCATCCTAGTCCCTCGACCTCTCTCCTCATGATCGCTTTCTTTGCGGCGGTGGATACTTTTCTTTAGTACCCAGACGCCCCGACGGCTGCTGATGCGGCGGAAGTGGTGGATACTGGCGCGCGTGCACGACCCTCCCGACAATGTCGGGCTGCTGAGGCCCCTCATTCGAACCCACCCGATTGATTCTCGCATAAAGGAGAAGAAAATTAGTAATTATAGTAATACTAAGGCATATAATTGTAATCTAAGCGTACACAAGTCAATATTTGCAGAACTAGGTATAAAATTGAAATCTAAGCCTAGACACATCAAAATTTCGGCAGCACCTCCCCTGCACGGTGGAGTTTCCAAAACCTGCAAGAAAACCAACGGCACAATGGCCGTCCACCACATATCAACGGCGAGATGGCCGGCACACATATATATGAACGGCACGAAGGCCTCCCATCACATATCAACGGCACGATGGCCGACATGCACAGTAAAGAGCTTTTGTTAGAGAAGTTGAACTCACGAATGGGTAAGGTGGGTATGGGTAAGGCGGTGGAGGAGCGAACAGCTCTGGTGGCGCTGGACGACCCATCGTGACGCCAAGACTTGCCACATACTGAGCCAAGGCGTCAAACCTCATCTGCTCGGCCTCCAACCTTTGTCGCTCGGCCTCCATCCTCTGTCGCTCGGCCTCCCGCTCCCTCTGTCGCTCTTCCTCCATCCTTGCCTTATGCTCCTGGAGCGCAAGCACCTGGGCCTGTAATTTTTCACCGCATTGTTACAAGCAGTTTCGAGGAATGTAAAACCAAAGAACGACGAATAAAACAGAAATAACCTGTAGTGCTGCCACACGATGCGTCGAAGTGTCCTGCCTTCCCGTGAACACACCAAGCGCTGAATATTCCATATGCTAGGAAGTCATGCATAGAGTATTGATACCAAACATGCATGTTGAAGTTTGTCTTTGTAGCTCGATCGTATGTCCATACACCATGGTCCCAAGCATGGACTAGTTCATCGAAGAAAGGCTCCATGAACACACCCATGTTATTCCCAGGGTGTTCTGGAATTATCAACGACAAGAACACATTCTGTCGTTGGAAGGAGACGCCAGGAGGAAGATTGAGGGGGATAACAAACACAGGCCAACAAGTGTATGGGGCAGCCATCATTCCATAAGGATTGAACCCATCTGTTGCCAGTGCAACACGCACATTACGTGCCTCTCCAGCTTTGTTACGATGAATGTTATCAAAGTGATGCCATGCTTCACCATCGGCTGGATGCACCATCTTCTCAGGACTGTATCTTTTTCCATTTTTGTGCCATGTCATCTGTTTCGCGGACTCCTCTGTCATGAATAGCCGTTGGATCCTCGGTATGAATGGAAGGTACCGTAGGATTTTCACGGGGTACGGACTCTGCCTCTTCTCACCATCACCAGAGTCTACCTCCAGATACCTAGAGGATTTACACTTTGGACAATACTTTGCATCCGCGTGTGCTTTTCTAAAGAGGACGCAGCCCTTCGGACAAGCATGTATCTGCTCATACGGCATCTTAAGTGCACGAAGGACCTTCTGCGATTCGTACATGTTCTGTGGCAAAAGGTGACCAGCCGGAAGGATGGAGCCAATAACTGTCAACATTTCATCAAAGTTCTCTCGACTGAGGTTGAACTGGGACTTTAAGGCCATTAAGCGTGAAATGCCATCAAGCTTTGAAATCTGTGTGTGGCCATGAAGGGGTTTTCCTGCCGCAGACAACATGTCGTAATACGCCTTTGCGCTTGCCTCTGGCTCCTCCTCCTGCCTACGTCCTTCAGCGAAGTGTGCTTCGTGAAAGTCATCTAACCAATCTGCTACCCCGGCATCAGCATTATAATCCTCGACACGTGGTCTCACCACCTCCTCTCTCACACGATCGGCTTCACCATGGTGGGTCCACTGGGTATAGTTTTTCGTAAATCCATTCCTAGCAAGATGTGAAGTCATCACCTCCTTTGTCTGCCTCTTTCTGTTCTTATAGTTGGTGCAAGGACAAAAAACGGCAACCGCTCCGGGAGCCTGGTCAAATGCTTGCTCGATGAAAGCCTCGGTCCTGACGACCCATTCTCTGGTAATCTCACGGGTGCTCCGGCGGCCCGAGTACATCCACTCACGGTCATCCATCCTCTAACATATATATCACCAAGTAATAAATATGACCATGGACTTGCATCTACACGTCGTTCCTACCATCTAATAGGTA